GTGTAACAGACATCAGAGGAGTCTCATGTAAGAATAGTGAGAAAAGAAAATTTCTGAAAATATTTAAATCAGGTTTCTTTTATAGAACACAGCAGTCATTAGAACACTCAGTAATCGGTTAAAAATGCTAACGTTTTGATTATATTAAAAAGTGTAAAGCGAACAAGATAAAAAAAAGTGTTGAAGCTGCTGTCAGTGCCTGTCAAGGGTCACCACGGTGACACCTGTGTCTCTCACTCCCTGACTACGAGGGACACAGCCTCAAATGAACAAGTGTGGAAACTACACTTAAAAGAAAATGTCTGAACCATYGGAGGCTGAAACATCTAGTGTCACACAGGTCAGAAACAAGACACATTTTAAAAAAGCATGCAGATCCAGATTTAAAGTTAAAATCCAGAGTGCAACGTTTATGATTTTCCCCCCCCAAATTTTCACAGTTGTAAAATGTACTAAATCCCACTATTTCCAGTGGAATGTTRGTTTTGATGTATTATTTTATGAGTATTTCCAAATCTGCAGGAACAGTAACAAATTCAAAATAAAAAAGTAACAAAATTGAACATTAACGTCTGAAAAGCTAGAAGTACTTCATTGCCTTTTGTCACATTTAAATGTCAAAATTATTCATTAACAACTCAGAAAAAAAGTCCCAAACTGATTTCCACTCTACTTTTATGTCCCTACTCAACTACATCRTTGCTTTCATCTTTGTGTTGCTCAGAGGCGGCAGCGGGTCTTTAGCTCGGCCCAAACAAAGACAAAGGTGGATCTGCAGGGGTCGGAGACGGCAGGAAGGCTTTCAGTCTAGTGTTTGGATGCGTTTGAAGGAAGCTTATGTGTTCAAAGAACTGCGCTGAAGTCAAACAGTGAGCAGAAGAAAACGAAGGTGCTTTTTGCACGGTGAGTTTGAATATCAGAGAGATCAAGCAGCTGTTTTCCCCGAGGCTTAGCGAAGACTTGCAGCAGCTGCTTCACGCATGTAGGAACAAACCAACTACAAATCAATTTAATTTCCGAAATCAAACCAAAAATGGAYGGTTTCAAGATTCAAATGATAGAAAGTATGAATGAAACCATTTTTAACCCACTTTTCCAATCAGGGTTGTGGTGGTACCTGGTGTTGTTCTGATCATTCCCACTTGCTGCAAAATGTTACAACTTAAAATGTACAAGATCCGCTCCAACCAGCCTCCTGATTAATTATTCCTAACTTCCTTATTTGATTTTTTGCATTTCTTATATTCAGAGCCAAACACTGATTGTGATAAAATAAAAGCTCTGTGGGGGTCCGAATAAGTTTAGCTTTTTTAGCTGAAGGCTCTAAAGGAAGAAAACAGGAACGTCATGTATGATGTTTAATGCATGTGCTCCAACAAGACATTCTGTTGGAGAAGACAGTCTGAACTTGAGGGATCAGGAGCGGTTTTCATTCCAAACATGTGAGAAATGGACGGATATTTTAAAATGTCACTAGCTAATCAGGTAGGAGGCAACTGAAACTCAAGAAATGTTTTTCCCTGCCTCTTCACCTCACTGTTCTCTGGAAATAAAATCTCCACACAGGATCCAACACTAAAACATTGGCTTTGGCCACACAGCAGTAAAACTCCATCCTGCTGTAGTTTGCCAAACCTCAGAGTCAGTTGTCCAGTTCTGCTTTCCTTTTGGACCCWGTGGTGGGAACAAGTCTGACGGTGGGAAGTGGACTTGTTTATCTGGTGAAACTGGTCTGCGTGACTCATGGAAATTAAAGCAGCAGGTTTAAGAGGACAAAAGATGGATGCTTGACCAGCCACAAGATGCACTGTTAACAATAAGTGTGTTCGCTTGTTTAAGATTTTTTAAACTTTTTCCCACTTTTTGTGAACCTGTGTGTACCTTATGCTGTGTTATATCATTCAGTCTTTACTTCTATAGTCAAAAAAAAGCTAAACAAATTTAACACAAATAAAAAAAATTCTGTCTGACTAGCGAGATAGCAGCTAACAGTGTTCTGCTGAGTTGGACTGAACCAACTCAAAGATCATGGAAGGAGATGTGTGTTTTTTTAATTCATTTTTTTTTCATTTTGTAAATAAGACCTAACTGCTTTTGCATTATTGCTGGAAACCAAAATAATTGAGGAAAAACATAAATTTGCACCCCCAGTTCAGAAAACGTGCACCTTTGATTCTATAATTATTTTTAAGTAAAAATAATGGAAAAACATTAAATACAAATTTAAACTTTCTGGCCAAATATCAGCATGCCAGTGTAATGGGAAGCAGATGACTGTGTCAAGCAGTGTTTGCATGATTTGTAACACATTTTGAAAGATTGGATCCATCATGAAAGTGATATTTCTTGAATCATTTTGACTATTTAATGATGGCTAGTTTAACAAAGCTACTTTCCAAGCAGATTCTTACTGATTAAACACCTCCTTTTCATAATTGTACTTTGCTTTGTGCAAAAGCTGTTTTTATAAACCTCAATTTTGCATTACACAGTTGTTTTTTATTTTATTTATTATTTCCCCACTGATATGCAAATAACCAGAACTCWATAAATACTCTGTGTAATGTGATATTGATGGTGGTGTGAAGGTTTATGAAATAGCATTTGCATAAGGAGATATGAAAACTTGGAGATTGGAGTTGTTTTAGAATGACAGCAGTTTACTGTGGCTTCTTTAGATTAGCATGCAAGYTAATCAATTTGGTTTAATAAACTCTGTTCTTCTAAAATGATCCCCTTAAGATAGCTATCTACAACAGGTAAGATATTAACTGTTCAAAATTTTTTTGACTTGAAAAAATCTGAACTATAACTTTTAATTTTAGCAGCAGTATGACTATCAAAATAATTGTCAAACATAGTCAGTGCTTTTTTAAGTAGTTCCATTTTAAAAAGTGCCTGCGYACTTGTTGAAACGTCCGTCTTTTCCTACAATCTGATGTAAATGTTAAATGTGACCTGTTACAACAAGACCTGAGGGCATTTATCCAAAAAAACCCTGACCCTAAATCAGATTTAGTTGCTGCTTCTGAATGGCTGCTTATAGAAACACGGCAGTTTGGTAATCTGATCTGAAATCTGTTCTCTGAGGGGCGAGTTGGACTTCCATCAGTCTGTATCAGGTTGTGCTTGACCTGTGGAGGGTTGAGCATTTTAGCTGGCCTGTTGTTAATCTGCTTAACGGAGCTTTAGAGRGATGGAGTTTCTCCCTCTGTTGCACACACACCAACCCCCTCTTTATCCCGTCTTTCACACAAAGACAAATTTACTCTGTTTTATACTTTCTCTCCCTGACTGTACTCCATCCTGTCCGTTTTCATTTCCTCCCTCTCACTTTTCAGACCTCGTTACAGTCTTATCCCCCAYCTGTCTCTCCTTGTTCCCTCTCACACAAGAGGTTTATGTCCACATGATACTTTCTCTGCTTCATGCATTTTCTTTTTGGATATTTAACTGGAGCCTGGGAACACAACATAACACATAGCATACAACCAAAACCTGCTTTTTTTCCTTCTTTTTTAAACACTGTCGTCTTTGTGCAGCTCAGACAAAACCACTAAATTATGGGATTTATGTATTTACAGCAACTATTCAGTCTGGTTACACTGGTGGTTAATGTCTACATGAGGTTTACACTAACTCTTTCAAGAGCAACATGCCAGATAAGTTATGCAAAGTGACCTCAGACTTACATAAATCCACTCGTCCATCAGATTTTTAAATACCCGTCCAACAAGCATTTATTATTATTACTATTATTATACATTTTTTTGTCTTTTCAAAATAAATGTAGTTTGCCTCTGATGTGTCATAAAAAATGTTTAGTGTCTGGATCTTGAAAAGCTGACTGAAATGGCTGCAAAATGCACAAAAAGCAATAAAACTGGTCCAAGGATCCGAGACTAATGTAGCCGCACACGAAGTTTAAATATGTAGCTCCAGTTTGGATGATGAAAGTGAGGTTTTCATGACCAGCAAAAAAAAAACAAAACTCAAAATTATCCCTTCTGTTTACTGTTGTATGCTTTTCAACGATCTGTTTAACTATTGCCTGCTGCCCTTGTTTGCATCTGTGTCAAACTGCAAAATATCTCAAAAATCAAAATCAGAAAGTATTAATAAGTTGTGCATCTACAGCAGAAGAACTTTTAGAATTATGGAGATAAATTAGTCTCAAAAAGATCTGAGCGCACGCAACAATGATCGAATGTGAGCACAGCTAGATTTGAGCACACGCCAAGATTTGCATGTGCATGAGTGCACAGATCTGCTTACCTGTGAATATGACAATTAAGACTTTTTATTAGAAAAATACCGATTTGACTTGGCACAATAGCTCATAAATCCCACAGTATATAAAACCCATATGCTTGCATTGACATTCCAAAATGGTACACTTTGACTTTAAAGCTGAGATAAATAACCTAAATTGAAAAGATTGGAAATTTATAATAACAGATAAAAAGTATAATAATGAGAAAATACATGTTGTCTGCAGTTTGTCCACAAAAAATAGTATTTAAATATATTTATCTCAGCTGTACAGTCTACCAAATTAAATTACTTCAAATGTACAGTCCACACAAAAGATACAGAATATAAAGTTATTTTCAAGGGAAATAATTAGGTTATTCTTCAACAAGAAGTATAKGTGCATGTTTTAAGGTTCATAAGCTTTTATCCCTAATCAGAAATATTTTTTCCCAATGTCCCAGATTTTCACCAGCCTTGAACGCARCATTACTYGTGTCAATCTGTGGCAGTAAGAATGTCTCAAAAGACATATTCACAGGCAAACAGATCTGTGCACTTGTAAAAGTCGATGTGCTCACTCAAGTCTTGAGACTAATTTGTCTGCATATTATGGAATCAACTTGGGTTTGAATAGCCGACCTTATGAAACAAAAAAAAAAAAATCTCAAACCCAGTTAATTTGACAGATACTGGGCTGGAACAGAGTGTGGTTTTAGCATTTTGAACTTTGACAGATAACCCAGTTATTATGTTTTAAAACATGTTTATGTCTGTTAAGTTAAAAGATTAAATTACTATACATTTGTCCTTACTTCACTTTATTCAAAAACAACATATTTTTTTACTCATCTCTTTAATTTTCTGAAAACAAYAAACAGCCTAAATGCAGTAATAAATGACAAAACCCAACATAATATTTAACTTTAAAATCTCTTTTTACAGAATCCAAATTGCACAAGCTTCAGAGAGAGTTATGTTTTAATTAAGAAGTTGTGTTTTTCTTCACATCCTTTAGTGTTTGTTGGTGAGTCAGAGATGATATCACCACTGAAAACATTATTATTTCTATTAAACTTCAGGTCAAAGGAAACAGGTAATTTCCTTAAACTGGGAGTGGAATAACACATCAACACCTTCCTAAAGTAATTGCCTAAGTTATTTTATTTTCCAAGTCATTCAGGAAGCACAAAATACTTAACCAAAAGTGTACCTTGTTTTTGGAGATTTTTGACAAACTTGAAAAAAATGGCTTAGCCGGTAATTTTAGGAAGGCATCAAACCAGTAATCTCTGTAGCAGCACTGAACATTAACCTGTTAACTGTTTAATAGACTAAAGAACATATGCATTTAACTTTTACTCTCCTTTTGCTCAGTTTTTTTTTTTTATTTATAAGAGATTTAGCTTAAGTAAAAACACAGCAACACTTTAAATTCCTTGAACGGTTCTCAGTTACTTTGAAAGCACCAAAAATATTTTCTTTAAGGCTTTTTTTTCTGATCACCACACAAAATCTGGTTTATATAAACATTTTTTTTTATTGTCAGTAATGTCCCCCACTTAAAAATTTTATGCAGAAAACATACCAGAAATAGAAGCAGACAGTAATAAAAAATGAACAGATATGAAAATAAGATAGTATAAAGGATTTTTTTTTTCTTGATCTTTGTTGGTTTGTTTTTACAGTGAACAAGCACATCTCTTGGTGCATAAAACCCTAATCCCAGTCACTGCTCTTAGAAAGGATTCCAAACAGAAAGTAAGAAAATAATCTTAGTCTCTGAGTAAAGAGGACAGAATCTCTTCTGTGTCATAAATCCCACATCACCTCTGCTTGAACAATTTGTTCCTGTTGTCTCTGCAGAGGAATCATCATCCTGTTGAAAGAGGTGTTCAGTGGTTTGAGTCAAATATTCTCCATCAAATTCCCCAAACATCCTGTGGAAACACACTGTGTCATCCGTTAAACTTGTTGCTTGATAGCAGATGGGAACAGTTCTTGTTGTGTCTTTATTTTCTTCACTGTCTCATCTTCTCCTTTTCACCTGATGCCTAAATAAAGGAAAAATTTGAATGAAAATGAGAACAGATGAATTTGCATCATGCAAGATGAAGAATTTGTACACAAAAATAAAACTGATTGTTTATATGGTTTGGTTAGACTATTGGATCACATCAGGTGGATGAGCTAATAAATACCTGTGTTTAATTTGAATTTAATTTTTAACTTGTTTTAATTATTTTTATTACCAAATTGTAGTAGTGGGGCGTGCAAAATTATTCATCCCCTTTACTTTCAGTGCAACAAACTGACTCCAGAGGTTCAGTGAGGATCCCTGAATCATCCATTGATATCCTAAATGATGGATGATAAATAGAATCCACCTGTGTGTAATGAAGTCTCTGTATAAATGCACCTGCTCTGTGATAGTCTCAGGGTTCTGTTTAAAGTGCAGAGAGCATCATGAAGACCAAGGAACACACCAGGCAGGTCTGAGATACTGTTGTGGAGAAGTTTAAAGCTGGATTTGGATACAAAAAGATTTCTCAAGCTTTAAACATCTCAAGGAGCACTAAGCAAGCAATCATATTGAAATAGAAGGAGTATCAGACCACTGCAGATCTACCAAGACCCCATTGTCCCTCTAAACTTTCATCTGGAACAGGGAGAAGACTGATCAGAGATGCAGCCAAGAGGCCCATGATCACTGTGGATGCAGAGGTCTACAGCTGAGGTGGGAGAGTCTGTCCATAGGACAACAATCAGTTGTACGCTGCACAAATCTGTCTTTTATGGAAGAGTGGCAAGAAGAAAGCCATTTCTCAAAGAAATCCATATAAAGTCTTGTTTAAAGTTTGTCACAAACCACCTGGGAGACACAGCAAACATGTGGAAGAAGGTGCTCTGGTCAGATGAAACCAAAAAACTTTTTGGCCACAATGCAAAACTGCTGTTCACAAACGCTCTCCATCCAACCTCACTGAGCTCCAGCTGTGTTGCAAGGAAGAATGGGCAAAAATTTCAGTCTCTCCATGTGTAAAACTGATAGAGACATACCCCAAGTGACTTGCAGCTGTAATCGCAGCAAAATGTGGAGATACAAAGTATTAACACAAGGGGGCTGAATAATTTTGCATGCTCAATTTTTCAGTTTATTTGTTAAAGTTTTAAAAAATCCAATAAATTTTGTTCCACTTCATAACTGTGTTCCACTTGTTGTTGATTCTTCACAAAAGTTTACAATTTTATATCTTTGTTTGAAGCCTGAAATGTGGCAAAAGGTCGAAAAGTTCAAGGGGGCCGAATACTTTCGCAAGGCACCGTAGAAGCCACTAAATAACTTCACAACACACACACACACACACACACTCTCACACTCAGTTGGATGCTCACCATTGTCTGTGTCTGAATTTGGGCTGATGTGGTGTTTGTTGGTGCATACACACTCTAAGTGGTCCACCAACATCACCTGCACCTCCCTCAGCTTCGGCCGCCGTCGTACGTATTCTACCTTYGCCACCTGCCAGAGACAGAGTTCACAAACAATCAGAGAAGAAAAACTATCRACTTTTCTATCTTATATTAAAGCTGAAAACATGAACATGTCCAACTACTTTTCTTCACTAAAATAAAGACAGTTCTGTCGCCTCACACAGCAGACAGGTATGGGTCAGAGCTGGTATGCCAAATGATTTGTCCTACCTGATGCGGGCCAGGTCTGGCAAACACTGTTTTTAGGATGGCATGMCACAACTGACCCAGTTGTGGTTTGGTTTATGTGGTGCTGGCCCATGCATGGACTAACTCTGGCAAACCACATCTAGGCCATCATGCTTTGTGGTATCTGGGCCAAGTGTGGAGCAGACAAATTTTGCTATTTGTCACCTTAATCCCAATCAAAAGGCCATGCAAAGATTAGCCTTTTACTTAAACATTGACCCACCTTCGCAGTTAAACCTTTGGATTTATTCTAAMGTGAAGAATTGCAGCTGTTAGCCAATCAGTCATCATTCTAACAAATTCTACTTTTTTGGGCCAATATACCAAAAATATACAAAACAAACATACAAAAAGTATGAAAAAACATAATTGGACCACATTTATTGGATCACAATGAAAATAAGTGTTTTTGAATAAAGAATGTAGTGCATGTGTGAATACAATATTGTTGCTCAATCAATCAATCAATCAATCAATCAATCAATCAATCAATCAATCAATCAATCAATCAATCAATCCTTTTGAATTATTCCTTTGACTAAAGCCCTAACAAGTGGCACAATGACCTAAAACATGTCAAAGTTTCACCACCAAGTAGTTTAGGTTCTTCCCCAGAAAACAGTGTTGCCTRAATCTAGCTCAACATGAAATAAATTACTGAACCTAATCTAAACTTAAAGGAATAAGAATTAGATTAAACGATCTCTTCTTTTAAACTTGCCATTATCCTAATGAAAAGCTTGTTGTTTGTAGCCCAGTATTACATTTCAAATGAGTGTTTTCAAGGCAACACATCAGAGCTAAGATGTCAAAGCACAGGTTGTAACAATCTCAAAAATGCCAGGTTTCTTGAATAGATATTTATTTCTGACACCCTGAAATATGAGGTTTTCTGACTGTCATATCTGGTTAAAGTTACACGTGTACAGTAAATGTCCAAAAACCTGATCACAACCATATTTATCAAACATATCTTTGGAAAACTGAGTTCATGATGTTCAAATTAGATGCACACAAGTTTTAAAATCAATGTGAGCATTAGGGTTGGGCGAAATCGTGTTGTGTGCAATTAATCATCAGAAAAACTTTCGATTATTTTTTTGACACTTGATTAATACAGTTAATGCCACCCTGCAGACTGACTGGGGAAATCCCCAGTCAGTCTGCTTGATGCTCCTCTCTGCTTCATATGATGAACATTTAAAAAAAACATTCTGCAATTTATTTATCATAACTCCAGTTTTACGTGGTCTATCAACACAATTTGAAAATTGATGTATAGCCTGAAGTCTGTACTTTTGACACCATTTGGAACACATTTTTATAGAGAGCAAATCTTTCCCACTTAARTGATTTAAATTGGTCATGTGACTAGGATTTGAGGACGTTCAGGGACCAATCGTCAAATTAATCGTTATCAGCTAAATACCACAATTAATCGTGATTTATTTTTTGCCAATCTCACCCAACCCTAGTGAGCATCAATAGTTAGTGTCACCAATAGATATATTCCACAATGGTAATGCCAGGATTCATCGGGTTTGAATTGTGAAAGAGGGATTCAGGGAGCACGAGACATCATTTTCACACAGTTATTGGCTCCACAGAGTCCATTGAGAATGTTTGGGATGTGCTGGAGAAGGCTTTGCACAGCGGTCAGACTCTACCATCATCAATGCAAGATCTTAGTGAAAACCTAATACAACACTGGATGGAAATAAATCTTGTAACACTGCAGAAGCTTATTAAAACAATGCCACAGAGAATGTGAGCCGTAATCAAAGCTAAATGAGGTTCGGCCAAATATTAGAGTGAGTGACTTTATTTGGTGCTGACCTTTTTTTTTTTTTTTTTGGCCAGGCAGTGTATTTGCATCTCTCTTTTCTTTTTGTTGTTGAATACTGGGGTCAGAAACAGTTTTCATTGTATTTAAACAACAACTCTTCCATTGTCATAAAGCTGAAAAGTTATGAATGCATCACCTCAAAAAGTAGACTGCATCAATCCAGAGTACCCAGTAAACATGTGGTTTTACATGAACTAATTTTCTAGCAAACGTCTGATATGGGTTTAGATGTGTCTGTCTGAGACAGCGAGCATGAAGCGCAGACAAAATGTTTCCTGAAGTTATTTCTTCACTGTGTAAACAGATGGGTGTGCCCGCTCTTGTTCGGATGGAYGAGCAGCTTTCACGCTGACAAGAGGTTTGATTTCACTCACTGTTTGCTTTCAACACCCCCAGTCCRCACGTTCTGTCAACACGGAACATCAGACCACAGCTGCTGAAACAGTTGCTCTTTAATATGAGTAACCCAGGTGTAAAACTGCAGCAAAAAATATGCAAACAGTGTCCATGCTTYGTGCTCACGTCTCTGATGTGGAGCCAAATCAGTGGACTTCCAGGTCTGATTGCAAAAACATCTTTGCTTCAAGTCTGAACAAACTCAGACACAACCAAGCTGAGACTTGAATTTACAAAAAAAGAAAAAAAAAAACACACAAGGAAGGAGGTTCAGTTGAGGTAAAAAAAAAACTAAGAAAAAAATAAGTCCTGACATCCTGCAGAAGACTGCTTAAATACAAAACCTCATGCTTAATTAAACCAACAGTGTTTTGAAGTGGCTTTCTGTGGACGGGTAATGAACAATTATTATCTTACCGGTTAAAGATATAGCTCTTTGAACAGCTGCAGTCGGAGGGAATTAAGAGTTACTGGACTGACAGGCTTACAGCTGGTCTGTGCCAAGAACAAMGTGGATTGCTGCCATAGAGATGAATGTAAAGGCTTTTATAAATCTTAGCACCAACACAAGATTTACAACAAATAATTCAGGTGTTAAAGCTCGAAATAGCAGCAGCAGAGCTGGCTGTAGCAGTTTTCTTTCAGGAACTTTCTAAAACATCTGCCAGAACGATAGCRAATGTAAACCACTGGCAGTGTCAAAGTTCTTCAAACTGCATTTATACTAAGTGGCATGAAGCTGTGCCACATACTAAGACAAAAGATTAAAAATGCTGGGATGGGCAAAATGGGTAAAAAATGGGCAAAATGCAAACACTAAAAGGGATAATCTGATCATTTTTGAAGTGATTTAAGCAGGTTATGCTGAAAATGTCTTAAAAAYCAGGGACGGATCATTTATCATTTCTTAGTTTTATAAAACAACTTTTTAAAGGAACAACGTACTTGTGTGAACAAAAACGCTACGTTGTTGAAAGCAAACCTCTATCTATCTTTTCTTCTTAAAAGCTGGTTAATACTTCATGAGTATAAAGTATGAGCATATATATATGAGATGTTAAATATGTATTTATTTACATGGTTGCATGACAAAAGTGATGCCACTTTGTTCTCACAGACACTGCAACAACAAGCTCCTGAGTGAACTTTTTCCTCACAGGGGTATGTATCAGTTATWATGGGATTGGTCAGAATTTTGCAGACATACTTATGGGAAAAGGCAGCTGAGCTACTTTGCTCTCGTTTCACTTCAACTTCTCTGCTGAGTTAAAGAATTAAGATGACAGCACAATTTCTGGAGGTGTTGTCATCAGCACAAGATGTAAATTAGTGTTTCTCACCAGTTGACAACAAAAAATATCATATATTCTAGTTCCTTCTCCTCTTCTAACATATTTTATTTATTTCTCTCCTACAACCCATGCATCATCATCACATTTACCTCTGTCAATCATGTTGTTGTTGTGTTGTTTCTGTTTGCGTATGACTTGTGCTGCAGAGAGAAAGAAAAAGAGCTGACTAGGACTTCTGCCCTGCAGTTTCTCTGAGTCTAAATTGTCCATATGAAATTGAACATCTCACACCATGAGTAAGAACAGATTTCTTAACATCTGACAGAGTATAAAGTCTTGACATTCGAACAGCCAAAATCATTGTCGCAGTTGCCTGATGGAAATTGCATCCTTTTTGATGTCTGTTTCTGTAGGTGTGTAGTTAAACGGCCAAAAACCTATGGATAGAGAGCACAGACGTGCACGGAGGAAACTGTCTGCCACAAGCTTTAACTGTGTCACAGTCTGTGTTTGTTTTCTTGGTTTTTCTAGTGTTTCAGTGTTCCCCTGTGTTTCTCTGCCCTGTAGCCCCGCCCACGCTCACCTGTTTCCTCTTGTGTCTCCTCCAGGTGCTTCTCATTTGTCCTCATTACTTTCCCTTTATATTTGGTGTCTTGTCCTCATTCTGTGTTTGTTCATTGTACTGTTCACCAGTCAGTGTGGTTGTCATCTGTGTTCCTCGTGCTGTTCCCTGAAGTCTACGTTTTTGCTACCACGACAGCCCTCCTTTGTTTATTAAAATACTTTTTTTTACTTTAGATTCTGCCTGCACTCAGCCTCACAAACTGACAGATTTGTAGTAAAAGTTACGGCAGATAACGGAGTGGAGATTTTTTTTCCCCAAAGTGTTGACTCAATAGGAAGAAATCCCATGCAGTGRCGWATCCCAYAGTACATGGTCAGCCCGTGACATAAGCAGTATAGGCAAATGCTAAGG